CTGAACGCAACCAATTGGGACTGATTTAAATTGAGCCGCGCTCCAGATCCCTCGCAGTTGAGATCCACAATGGCAACCTGGCTCTGCAGACCCGCTACAGAGCTGGATATGAGCGTAAAGTCATCCGCAAAGTAGAGACCAGTCCCCACGCAGCCAGGTCCAATTGGGATACCGACCTCCGGTAGTGCACGAAGAAGATTTCCTAGTGGCTCGATTGAAAGAACAAAAAGCAGCGAAGAAAGTGGATCACCTTGTTTGACGCCTCGTGCTGAACTCAATAACTCCTGTAAGACACTGTTGATCGACAAATCTGCTTCGGTGTTAGAGTACAACATTCGTACCCACCCACAGAACGCTGGCCCGCATCCAACTTGGCGTAGAACCTCAAAGAGATAAACCCAGTTGACACTATCATAGGCATTTACACGATCATAGGCCTTTGTCACGTGCCCTGGTATGAAGGGTGCGGGCCACACAAGATGGTGTGACCACATAATGGTGTTACTACACTTAAATAACCTTCGCAGTGTCTGCGCTGAGACGCCGAGGTGCTGGAGCGCCATGTTGCCACTCGTAGAGTTTGCACCGAACATCGCAGTGCATTCGTCGACCGGCTACACGCCGTTCTACGTGAACGGGCTGTATCACCCTCGAGTCCCGTTGACGCCGCCAGTTCATGGCTCAGGGCTTGGTGGTGGGGGGTCTTGTATGGCTTGCCATTGTATTGAATAGGTTAAGGAACATGCTTTAGTCGTCAAAATAATTGTGTCACTGCTTACCAAAAGAACAGTCCGTGTAGTCCGGTCAACATGTTCTTGCGGCTTAAAATCATGAGTTTAACAGAGTAGATGGGGAAGTCACTCAACGAACAGATTCTGTTATTCGCTTAGATTTATCACTTTTTACATCCATGTTGCAAGATGAAATTAAGGGCTGGCTGATAATGAACCATGAATCCATGAATGTTACGTTATATTGAAGCTTTGAGGCAAGTGCTTTATATTCAGGAGAGGGCACTTTTTACATAGAGTGACGACAGCATCATATCCTGATTATTAAGAAAAATATAGTAAAGTGGTTAAGCACCATCATAAATCAGGCTTTAAATTTACAGGCATATATCAGTTATAATTACATTTTGACACGACCCTAAAAGAGATGGTTATCTGCACTATTTCTGAAAATGGAAAACCTGGTCGCAAGTTTTTATGTTGAAGATTACTGCCGTTTCCAGAAATGTACCTTGACATTAGCATCAGTCGATTTCCATAGCTCGTGAATTTTGACTGTGCTACTTTATCTGAGATAATTTAGAGAACATAAACAAGAGATAAATAGGAATCGCTCTAATTTTTTTCTCCTTACAAACTCGAAATATTTTCCACTCTAAGATTCATTCACAATCTTTCCTCCCAAATCCGGAAAAACGATCTGCCACTTCTGTCTTTCGATCATGCCTCGAAAACCATTCATTACTTAAAGAAGCTCTGAAGCCGACTATCCAGTTTCCGGGAAGTTTTTGTCCTATACCAGTGCAACAAACGATATTATGCGCCTCCAATATCTCCTCTCTCTTCTTCTCGCCAGTCTTACGGCTAAAGCCGTACTCTCGATACCAGCGCATAGGTCCCAGCACGAGGAACCAGAGTCAATGTCGGGCACTATTGCTCAGTGGAAAATTCATGGCAGTCGCCTCCATCGCCTTCGTGCGAGGAATGGTAAGACTATAACAGACGAAGAACGTATGCAAACGTTTCAACGTGTAGCATCGAAAGTCATCAATGTCTTGCGTTTGGCGAGCGTATTATATGACCGGAAAATTCAGCTCGCTACTATCGACCGGGTAATGAATATTAATGGAGTCATCCAAACACTTATGCTGGGATATCATCCACTCCAGGTGAAGTCCTGGCTGGAGCACACCCCCGATCTCGCAGCCGATATGTCGACAG